TAGGTAGGCTTTTTTTCCCTTCCAACTTGACACACGCTAGAGTTACCTGGGAAGAGTTTCTCAACAGAGAAAACTTCTCCGCCAGACTGGCCTATGGGTTAGCCAGTGGGACATTTTCTCGATTATAATTGATGTGGCAGAGCCCAGTCCGCTGTGGGCGGTGTCACCCCTGGGTAGATGGTCCTAGTTTCTATAAGGAAGCAAGCCACGAGGAGCAAGCCAGTAAGCAGTACTCCTCCATGGCCTCTGTTTCAGTTCCTGCCTCCAGGGTCCTGCTTTGCTTGGGTTCCTGCTCTGACTTCCTTCATTGAAAGACTATCATGTGAACTGTAAACTGAAACTGGTTGCTTCTGGTTGTGGTGTTTATCACAACAACAGAAAGTAAACTAGGAGATACACACACACACGCACACACACACACACAAACACAAACACACACACACACTCTTTCCTCAGACAGGGTCTCTCATGTAGCTCAGGCTAGCTTTGAACTCATTGTACAGCAGAGGGTGACCTCGAATTCCTGATCCCGCTGGTGCCGAGATTATAGACATGTGCTCCCAGGTGTGGTCCATCTAGCGCTGGGGGGGTGGGGAGTGGGGGATTGAGTTTAGCACTATGTATCCTGGTCTGCTCTTGAACTCAAGGCTCTCCTCCTGCCTCAGCTTCCCAACAAGGGCCTGAGAACTCTACCAACTGAGCTGTGGTCCCAGTTGCTAAGAGGAAAACTTTGTTTTCATCAATAGTAAAAGAAAACTCCTGTACAACAAAAGAAAGTCGAGATGGACTGCCCCGGGAGCTGACAATTGACCTCAGGGTGTCCCCGACTGAGCACAGTGACTTTGGGGGACATTAATTCTTTGTGGTCCTGTGAGCTGTGGGTGTCAGTAGTCAGCCAAGCCTCCCCAGCTGTGACAGCCCTGGCCACGTCCAGACTGCTGGCCGTGTTCAGTCTACTTCTGTCTCTCTGCTCTGAACTCTTCCAGATCCTCTGGCTGTTCTCTCTCTATCTACAGTAAAAACCTTCCCCTTAACCATACCATGGAGTGGTCATGTCATCGGTTTATATAGATAGACAGGTGTGGATGGTAGATAATAGACTGATACAGAAGATAGATTATTGATGGATAGAATAGATAGATAGATAGATAGATAGATAGATAGATAGATAGATAGATAGATAGATAGATAGATAGATAGGTGATATGTTACATGAATTGATCGGTACATGACAGAGGGATAGATCAGAACTCACTTTTTTTTTTTTTGGTTTTTCGAGACAGGGTTTCTCTGTAGCTTTGGAGCCTGTCCTGGAACTTACTCTGTAGCTCAGGCTGGCCTCAAACTCACAGAGATCCGCCTGCCTCTGCCTCCTGAGTGCTGGGATTATAGGCGTGCGCCACCACCACCCGGCTTTCAGAACTCACTTTTAAATACCAAGAAATAGAGACAGGAATGGAGAAACAGGGAGCAGAATATATTAAAGCGGCGGTGGGAACAGCATCATTTATAGACATCCGGTAAACATGAGAACTTCGTACAATTCCTGTAGCTTCTCTGTAAGTTTGATACTATGTAAAGGTAAGATGTTATATGCATAGAGATCTATTCATCATCTATCAATGGTCTATCTATCATGCAGTTAATATCCATCTTCTGTTTGTGTCTTTTGAGGCAGGGTCTCACTCTGTAGCCCAGGTTGCCCTAGAACTCACTGTGCAGCAAAGGCTCCCTTCCCTCCTGCTTCAGCCTTTCAGGTGCTGGTGTGAGGTTACAGGCATTCACCATCACGTTCCTTCTAATGCTCAAGTCACCCCGGGCCCCCGGGCCCAGGACACCCTGAGCCCAGGTCCCTCCGGCCCACGCCACCATCCCTCGCCTGTTTTGAACTTGCCTTGACACAGTGTAAAGCCCTGGTGTGTTGGGAGAAGGGCTCCAGTGCATCTGGCAGCACATCAGAGTCCCTGTCGGCCTTCTGAGAAACAGTGCTCAACAAAGGTGACGTGTACTTAAGATGTGAAGATGTGACTCAGAGGCAGCGTGACAAGTGTTCTGTCTTAGGTGTCAGCTTCTGGGATGAGCCATGTGGCTCGCTGAAATGTAAGGGGGATGGGGACCCAACAAGTGTGGGGTTCAATCCACTACCTCTTTGGCTGTAGCTCCCTCACTGGGGGCCTGTCTCATGGTCCATCTTATCCATGCTCTTCCCACACTCCCGGTCCACATGGCCCTAGCTTGTCTTTTTACACACGGGCCAACTGACTTCCACATGTCCTCACTTCCTGCTGCACCCCAGTGCAAGTAGCATGAGATGTGGCATGGAGTAGATGTTCAGTAAACAGTTCCTCTGTGCGGTGCCTACATGGGGTTCCCCACACCTTGCCCAGAGCAAAGACCACCCTTGTTGGCCCGGGCAATAATAACTTCTTGAAGCTGAGACGGGGTTTGCCCAATGGGCTTCACATTCCCCGCTGTAAGACATTGTCCCTTAGCCTGGGAAAGGTTGTATGGGTCACAGCAGGTGGCTCCCTCCTCGTCTGAATTCCCTGTGGTCCCATTCCCCAGACTGGCTATAAAGGAAGGAGGGGCCCCACACAAGCCGAGGAACTCCTGAAGTGGTTAGGCTTTTCTGGGGGCCTGACAACACAGTCAGCCCAGGAGGATGTGAGAGATAAGGGATACAAGGGCCGGAGCTGCCCACGAAACCCTCAGCTCTGGTCCCTCCTCCGAGCTGGCTTTGAGCTCCTAAACATGTCTAACCATCCCCTGCTGCGCCCTGGCATCCTAATTCACCAGAAGTCATCCACACGGTCTCCTGATCCAGAACTCAGTGCTGTCTCTGGCCACTCCATCAGCTCTGAACAGCCAGTCAGAAGGTCCCAGGAGGACCACATGTCATGGCTGGCCTCAAAAAAAAACTAGTGTCCAGTATGTGCTAGGTAGGCTTTTTTTCCCTTCCAACTTGACACACGCTAGAGTTACCTGGGAAGAGTTTCTCAACAGAGAAAACTTCTCCGCCAGACTGGCCTATGGGTTAGCCAGTGGGACATTTTCTCGATTATAATTGATGTGGCAGAGCCCAGTCCGCTGTGGGCGGTGTCACCCCTGGGTAGATGGTCCTAGTTTCTATAAGGAAGCAAGCCACGAGGAGCAAGCCAGTAAGCAGTACTCCTCCATGGCCTCTGTTTCAGTTCCTGCCTCCAGGGTCCTGCTTTGCTTGGGTTCCTGCTCTGACTTCCTTCATTGAAAGACTATCATGTGAACTGTAAACTGAAACTGGTTGCTTCTGGTTGTGGTGTTTATCACAACAACAGAAAGTAAACTAGGAGATACACACACACACGCACACACACACACACAAACACAAACACACACACACACTCTTTCCTCAGACAGGGTCTCTCATGTAGCTCAGGCTAGCTTTGAACTCATTGTACAGCAGAGGGTGACCTCGAATTCCTGATCCCGCTGGTGCCGAGATTATAGACATGTGCTCCCAGGTGTGGTCCATCTAGCGCTGGGGGGGTGGGGGATTGAGTTTAGCACTATGTATCCTGGTCTGCTCTTGAACTCAAGGCTCTCCTCCTGCCTCAGCTTCCCAACAAGGGCCTGAGAACTCTACCAACTGAGCTGTGGTCCCAGTTGCTAAGAGGAAAACTTTTTCATCAATAGTAAAAGAAAACTCCTGTACAACAAAAGAAAGTGGAGATGGACTGCCCCGGGAGCTGACAATTGACCTCAGGGTGTCCCCGACTGAGCACAGTGACTTTGGGGGACATTAATTCTTTGTGGTCCTGTGAGCTGTGGGTGTCAGTAGTCAGCCAAGCCTCTCCAGCTGTGACAGCTGATCCACCTCCAGACATTACGACACATCGCCGAGGGACATGGTACTGAAGATGGCTGGTTTCTGTCCCTCAGAACTGGGAGGCTCAGGCAGAGTAAGCCACCAGCAGTCACTGAAAAAACAAAGCTGGCCTGGAGCCCAAGAGCCCATCCAAAGCCTAAATCCTTTCCAGCCAGAGCTTGTCATTTTTAGCTAGCTTAACAAAAAAAATCCGTGTGTACACATGTATTTTTGTTGTGAAGTGGGGGGGGGGGGCGGACACATGTGGCCTGTGTGTAGCAGTCTGAGGACAACTTCAGATGTTAGCGCTCACCTTCTACCTCTTCTGAAGCAGGGTCCCTTTGCTATTCTCTGCCATGTTCACCAGAGTCGCTAGGTTAGCAGGTAGCTTCCAGGGATTCTGTCCACTTCCCATCTCATAGGAGGTCTGGGATTATGGATTCCCAATGCCACACCCAGCACATAACCCTAGAGACTCAGTCTCAGGTCTTCCTAAGTACATAGCAAGTACCCTACCCATGAGCCATCTCTCAACCCTAGTCCATTTAAAGAACATTGCTGACCTGCTGTCTAGACCAGCTAGGCATTGGGGGATCGGAGAAATTGTTCTGAGACAAAGTCTCACTCCATAGCCCAGGCTACTCTGGAACTATATAGAACTCTTCTTGGCTTCCCAGTAAACATAACTCTGTAGAGAAAAATGTACCCGAGGCACGGGACTTCTTCAGGGAAGTGGCTGTGGAACGCCAAGTTGAGGTCGCCATCACGGGCCGGCTTTGGCTTCCTGCTCTGTCCACAGAGAGAGCAGGGAAGCCCATCCCCCAGCCCTCCTGCTCCTCACCAGCCTCTTCCTTCAGCCTGTGCCTGGCAGCATCAGAAGGGAGAGTTCGAGCCAGCCCGGCAACGTGACATGAGGCAGCCCCAGCTCTGGGCAGGGAGAACGGACAGGGAATGTGTGAGAAGCTGCCCCCCCCGCAAGAGCCACAGGCCAGCTGGTGCATCCGAGCTCATGACTAGAGTCAGTCGGAGCACACTGTGATACCCCCCGAGCTCCGTCTCCCGCCTGCACGTCTGGCACAGGAAGAAGCCATGAGTCCGAGCTGTCCCAAGCACGCCGTCCCTGCCATCCGCCAGGAGGGTCTGATCAAAGCACGGCCAGGGGTTCAGTGGCTTTTATTTAATATCCAGAAATCCAAAGGACGCTTGGCTTCGAACAATTAAAAAGACAATGAAGCGCTGCAACACAGAGGGGGGATGGATTGGGCTGTTTGAAAATAAGATTCCCGTTTCGTCCGGCGGCCGAGGAGGGTGCAGGGGCTCTGGGCTCAGTCAGGGCTTGCACAACTGGGTGTCAATGGGGAACAAGAGCCGCCTGCAGGCCCACCCAGGTCAGCAGGGCTCCAGGGGAGGCGCAGATCGATCGGTTGCAGGACGGAGAGCAGCAACCCCAGAGACCTGTCCTGCAGACCTGGCGGAGGAGGAGGAGGTGCAGACCTGCCTGACCCTTCCTTGTGATTCTGTGTGCAGGGGGTGACAGATGATGGCATTTCTACCAGTTTTGGTGGCCAGACCTCTCTTCAAATACATGTCAGGAGAGAATGTAGACCCAAGCAGTAGAAGGTACCAGAACTTCCTTGAATTAACAACTGCATTCCAGGGGGCCCCCAGTGAGAGCCATGGGAAAGTTGGAGGAGGAGGCACTGGTTACCTGAGGGCATGGAGGAGGACAGCTCTCTCTAAACTAATGGGGGCACCATCTGGCTGTCTGTGAAGAAAGCCTTGCTTTCCTGAAGTTGGCCTAGGAACTTTGGTTCTTGGTGCCTCTGTCCAGGCTGTGGTATGAATGCCACAGTGAGAGGACAGCAAGGACATTAGGTAGCCCTTCCCTGGCATTTCAGAACCACAGTGGGGAAGGTCACGCCTTCATGGAATCCTGGCTTCACCAGTCCCGCAGCAGGGCAAAGGAGCCCACTTGGATTCCAAGTGCAACATATGTCCTCCAGATAGGGATGCACAGGAAACCACCACCACCCTTCCCAGAGCAACCCTTTCCTTCCCCCTCAGCATCATAGGTCTCTGAAAACCCTTTGCATCAAGGCTCCTTGCCCCAGGGACAAGAGACACCCTTGCCAAGACCACCTGTGAGGAGAGCAAGGCGGAGCCGGCAGCTCCCGGATGCTGCTGTGGTTCTGAGCGTGTAGGGAAGACAGCACAGGACGTTCCAGTCGCGGCTATTTTGTCAGTGTGGCTCTTGAATGTCACCGCATCCCACAGGGAGACACGGTAATGCCGTTTTAATTATCTCTTTCCCCTGCTGGGAAGCCACCTCCATCGGAGCCGACGGTTCCAAGCCCATCCCCAGCTTAGCAACAGCGGAACCAAGGGGGGGATATTGGACTGTTTTCTGGAACTTCGCTGTCGGCGGGGCTATTCGGTATCAACACCTTGCTCCACAGCCCTGGTCCGTACATGGCAAGGACGGAATCAGAAGAGGGAGGTTCACGGTAGCTGCCGTGAACGCTGAGGGCTCACGGAAGAGGGTGGCTGTGTGGAGGTAGGAGGAACAGGAGAGGGGTGAGCCACAGAACTAGGATTCCTGAGACAAGCAGCCAGCCAGCCACGGCATCACCACGCCTCTCTGGAGTCAAGGAGAATGGGTGGTGAATGGCTTGTGGGAACAACAGCCCTTTCTTTTCTAGGACATGCTGCAGGGGATGCCAGCAGAGTTCTAGGAAGGATGTGGACATTTCCTATGCCCCCACTAGCCGCTGAGACATGCTCCACAAACCTACTCCTGGCGTGTCCCGGGGAGACTGCATTTGGAGACAGGGCCCCTGCGGCTGCCATGGGGTCAGTGAGGTCGTACAGGGAGGGGATGGGTTCCCTATCAGAACGAAGAGGAGACTAACACAGGAAAGGGGATGGTGTGAAGGCCGAGAGAAGCGGAAGTGGTGGAATCGAAGCCTCAGAAGCCAGCCCTGCCAGCACCTCCATCTCCTACTTCCAGCCTCCAGAGCCTCCAGATGCACGCCTCTGTCATTCCGGGCGCCTGTAGTAGTGGATACCCACCCCCTTGTAAAGTCTCTAAAAACATGTCCTTTCCCTAACACAGCCTCGGAGACGAAAGGTTCCGGCTCAAGCTGCACATTCAGAGCCAGCAAGAGACCCAGACGTGCCCTGTGCAGCTTCCCCTCGGCCTCCCCCCCACACCCCGAGGCATTCTGGGTCCTGAGAGTTTATGTAAAAGGTCAGTCAAAACCAATAAACCACAAGACGAATGGGGTGGGGGTGGGGATGAGGGGTGGAGACACACGTCACAAGTCTAAGTCTTCTGAGACAGGAGTGAAAAACTGCGAGGATCTTTTTTACTAAGACAAGACCCCGCTTCCACGGAGAGCCCAGCCCAGGGGGTTCCTGAGGACAAGTGGGGCGGAGTCCCTGGAGCCGGGGCCGCTGAGCCCTGCCATCAGCAATTGCTCTGTGGGTTGGAGCGCAGGTGGACAGCCTTCTCCAGCTGAGGGCTAGGCGAGGGCTTCCTTCTTGCCCATCTCCTGATGGCAGCAGAGGGGAAGAGGAAGTGAGGCCTCAAACCTGAGAGCGTGTTTTAAGCACCAAGTTCTCAAAGGCCTAACGGGCTGGCCGGGGGGACCATAAAGAAAAGGGTTTTAAAACAACAACCAAACCAGGCAGGGAGCAGAGAGGACGGCTGGGATGGGAAGCCTGAGGTCTCCTTGGGGACGTGTCTCCTGGGAAAGCAGGGGCCGTGGATGGACACACCCACTTTTCTTGCCCGGGAAATGGTTCCGGGAGGATCGGCCACTCTGTCACTCCACATCCTTGTACTTGGTGAACAGAGTGTAAAGGACCCGCAGAGTGGATTTGAGGTCCAGGTTCACCACATCTGCAGGAGGAAACAGAGAGAGTCGGCTGAAGAGGAGGGATTTCAGGAGCTGTGAGCTGCACCGCTACATGTGTAGCAGAAAACTGTCGCTGGGGCCCTCACACACACACACACACATACACACACACACACACACACACC